CCAGGACAGCACCTCCAGCTTCACCATTACTGTCTACCAGGACAGCACCTCCAGCTTCACCATTACTGTCTACCAGGACAGCACTACCCGCTCCACCATTACTGCTACCAGGACACACCTCCACCCTTACATTACTGACTACAGGACAGTATCAAGGGGGTACCATTCAGTCTCCCAGGACACTCCAGTTCCCATCTGTCTAGGAAACCTCCAGTCTTCAGCAACTGCTATGACGCACCTCCGTTTAATCCTTATTTGGAGATCCACAGCTTCACCATTTGGGCTCCCAAAACCCCCTTCCTATTTTAATCTGCAGTAGCTCAGCTTCCATTTTCTGCACCAAGGCAGGCACCATTTTCCCCAACATTACTTTACCAGGAAGCCCCGTTTTTTGTTACCAGGCAGCACCCACACAGCTTCAAATGATCGGCGACTCGTTCAATTTACTGTTCTACTAGGCAACCTCTTGATTCACCTATTACATCCTCCAAATAAAGCTCTACTATTATGTCTAGGACAGCACCCCGCCCCACAAATTTCTGTTCCTCAAGAGAGCTCATTGCTTCACCATTTATGTTATCCGAAGAATTTTCCCATACTGATCTAAAGGAAATCAGCTTAACCTTACTGATACCCAAAAAGGGAAACCTCAAAAACTTTACCACAATAGATATCACATTACTCCTCCCAAGGAAGCATCAGTTCACAATTTGTAGACAGCACTACCCTGCACCATTATCTTCTCCAGGCATGTACCTACTTTACTTATCAGACATCACTCCACTTCCCCATTATTGAAGATATCAGCAATTTACTGATACCAACTTGTCCAGCCTTCTTTCCTCTCCTTGGAGTACTTAGCCGACTTTTATTTTTCTTTCGAGAACAGGTTCTTGAAACACTACTGTGTTTTCCCTTTTAAAACGAATCTTTTAAAATCTCTCAAACCAAAAAACCTTTCTGGTTTTAATTTACCTTGACTAGTTCTTGGATTCTGCCCTGTTCACCTGGTTACAAAAACAGATTATATTGGCAGCCCGTTGGAGACCAAAATAAAGGCCCCTCAAAAAATAAGTTAGAAGTGATTTACTGACTACTGACTCTTGAGTATCCTATTAAACTCCTCTGGATAAGTGTTTCTGTTTCTCATGAACCCCCACAACTTGCTACAAGCCGTACAGAGAGCTCATGTTAAGCAAAATTACGTACTAAGAAACCCATAAGAATATGAAACAAATGTAACCCGCAAAATACAGCAAGCTGACAAAAATTTACACTGCAAATATACATTTCCTACACACAGAGAAGGATACATGCACAATAGCAGAGTGTACAGCACAGATATATTGTGCTGACTACTCACAAATGAAGAAGAAGCACTTACGTTATTGAAGATGCAGCAACGTGCTGAAGCAGCACGGCCAGAGTGCTCCTCACGATATGTAGCCTGTTGGCAGTTCTTCCAGAACAGCAGCCAGTCACAGTGCAGCACAGCAAGAATCTCTCAACAACCGTGGGATCACCATAGCAGCACAGTCAGGCATTTTCCCTGTCAGGGTAGCGACTGATAGTTTCTCCGGAGCAGAAGACAATGATAAGTCAGCACAGCCTGACAGATTTTGGGGTTACCTGGCAAAACCTCGATTTCTACCAAAAACCCCGCCACAACTGTGCTACAGCAGCAGCAGCACGATGCTACAGCAGCAGCAGACGGTATAAGCACAGCAGCAGCTGATGGTAACACACACAGCAGCAGCAGAGCGAAGGTACACAGCAGCAACATGCCAGCAGCAGCAGACGGTGTACAGACAGCAAGGGGCAGCAGCATGACGGTGGTACAACAGCAGCAGCAGCAGACGGTGCTACAGCAGCAGCAGCAGCAGACGGTGCTACAGCAGCAGCAGCAGCAGACTGCTGACGCAGGTACACAGTCAGCAGCGCAGCACCAAAGTAGCGAAGTTGAGTGTTAAGTAGCACAACTGTGCACCAGAGCAACGATGCTACATCATACATCAATGAACTTTTCTACACATCACATAGAATTTCTCACCCAGCAGCAGGGTGCACAGCAGCTTGCTTGGCCACGATGCACAGCAGAAGCAACACCAAAAACACTGAATCAACACGAAATGTTCAAGCAGCTGGATGGTTACAGCGCAGCGGCGGTATACAGCCACAGCGAGCAGCAGCGAGCTGACGGTCGTACAAACAGCAGCAGCAGCGTTGGTGGTCACAGCAGCAGCGCTGCGTCTCCAGCCAGCAGTGACGGGGTTGCTACAGCAGCGCAGAGCTGGACGGTCTTAGTACAGCTTAAAAGCGCAGCAGGGGCGGTTGGGACGCAGCACACTGTACCACCAATGTAGCATGGTTGTTGGGGTTTTTTTTTAAAAACCCGGCCCGCTCGGGGCCGCACTCCACTTTCATACTTATCAATGATCTTTTTCTTCATCTCTATAGTAATTCTCACCCTTATTGCTGTAGGGTTGGCACTAGAAGCTTTCTTGGGGCCCACGGTCACTTATTTTGCAGATAAAATCACCAAAAACACTGTAATAATACGAAATGTTTCAATTGTATGCTTGGATGTTACCGCGGAGGCTGGCTGGTAAACAATGCCACCGGCGGAACGTGAGCGTGGCTCAGGCCGCACATAGACGCGTCTTGGACGAACAGCGTTGAGCGGGTTTTCTAGCGGTATGCGAGGCAAAATCTTAGCGATAAAATGTAGCGGTATGCGGATTTAACATTATGTAAGGCCAACGGTATGCGGGGGTTCACTGTATTTCTATTTCTAACTGTACTTGTATATTGGACAGCTTACCGTGTACGTTCCTGATTTATATTTATTGTTTGTGTTTGATAAGGGCGCCTACAACCCCATCCGTTTACAGTCTGCTTTATTGTCCAACGAATCCGTTTGAAACCAGTCGAGGGTTCGGACCAGTCGAGGGTTCGGACCAGTCGAGGGTTCGGACCAGTCGAGGGTTCGGACCAGTCGAGGGTTCGGACCAGTCGAGGGTTCGGACCAGTCGAGGGTTCGGAACCAGTCGAGGGTTCGGAACCAGTCGAGGGTTCGGAACCAGTCTGATTTCGATCAGTGGGTCACTTATTAAACATAGGTCTGTGATTGGCTAACACATGAAGGATCTACTTGGAATTATCTACGGAATAATATGTGAGTTGATTGAACAAAAGTTACTTGGTGTTGAAGAACCGTGAGTTGCTGGCAGCCTAATGCGACGGTCGAGCCTCAACCTGTTATCATCGTGTACCTAGCTTTCTAGGTTTTTCGACTCCACAGATAACATGCTATATTATCATATGGTGACTTCTTGAAAATTTTGGAGAAGGACGCTGCTGTATTAATTGAATTTCTTCCGTTTGTTATTGACCGCTGTGACTAAAGTATAATGAACGTTCACAGTACAGTGGCCCCCGCAATAACGATACCTCGAGATCACCCTATTTGTAAGTGTATTTATTAAGCGTTTGTACGTTATGTTTTGGGTCTGAAGGACTAAATCTACTTCACAATATTCCTTATTGGGAAGAAATTCGAGTATACTTGCACTCGAACATACTTTGGAGTGGAAAAATATGTAACGGGTTCCACTGTATACGTCTGGTATTTCAAGAAAAAAGAAACTAATGAAAGTCACTCCACTCCACTAAGTACCATTATAATACTGGTTAGTTGCTACTACAACACTGTATTCTGCTATTCACTGGTATCACTAGATTATATGCGCATACACTAGCAGGCCAGGAGATTATTAAAACAGCTGACCAGTGTGGTAAGTTTCTGGCAACTTCTGGCACCTGCCTCTATAGGCTTATCACTTCATTTACAAATTCACCTGTTTTCAAATGACACTTTAGCCTTTATCATCTATATACTAGGGAGCCACTGTAGTATACACTATACACTATGTATACACAATGTTATCAGGGAGACTTTCTTTCCTCTGACAAAGAAAAGTTCTATTATTATTATTTTGCACACGGAACACAGGCCTATGATTCCCCTCTGGCAGTAAACTCTGCTAGGTAGTGCACACTAATTCTCCTTTTTTGACTCGTATATAATGTTTTCCGCCCAAGATTGGTTCCAGGCGCTAGAGGGATGTATCGTATAGGACTGATGGCACAAATTAAAGTTCTAGCACGTAAGAGCGACCGTGAAAACACGAGAAAACCCGGAGCACAACGAGGCACGCTGACACGGCTTCACCTGAAAACTATACTGTTTCTATTTCTATAAATGACTTACCCAAAGGAGTAAACAAAATAAATTTGTTGTTTGCTTATGATTAAAACCTCTTCAGCAAAATAAAAATGATAATTTTTACAGGATGACTTTCATAAGTTGAGCAAATGGAAAGACAAATTGATGATGCAATTTATTAATGACAAATATCATATAATGGAAATGGGAGAAGTGAAATCATACTCACAAAGAATATGAACTGTGTGACAATTTTGGGAGTATCATATAAGGAAGAAAATCTAAGAGTTATTAACAGAAAAAAAAAATCACCAATCATATAAAGGAAATTGTAAGAAATGCATATGCTACATCAAATGCAACTTTGTCCACAGTCAAAGGTTTACATCAGTTATTAACTAATTAACTCAAATGGCACACTTTCAAAATGTCTTGTATTTAACAATAAGATTATTATGCAACAAAAAAGGTTCGTACCAAACCATAATTCACACAAAAACCATAATTCGCAGACAAAACAATTCACACTCCAAAGGTGCATTAAAAGCAATGACACACACCATCATTTTGTAAAATCTGTGATTAAATTTATATCTGGACAAAAAATAGTCTTCAAGGCATACTGATGGACGAGCTGAACATCATGCGGATTTTAACAAATACATTACAGTATGTGCTCTTTCCGCCATCAAAAGTGGTTATTTTCACATTAACTCGTTGCTTCAAAATATGGATCAAAGTGTGAGCTGTGGAGCATGGACAAGCTCAGACTCACCCCACAGAGGGGCTGGGGTAGTGGCTGGCAACTCTCTAAAGAAAGAATGGTCAAGATGTCCAGAATCACTTGTTACTATGATGGGGGAGGAGCCCATGGTGTCAAGAGTATAGTCATCTGTCCACACGACTTCCCCCCCACTGTGCATTCCTCCGTAACCTTGACCTTTGGTGGCCAATAATAATTTAGCCAATTCAAAATATTACTCTTCTGCGAGTCACTAGCTTTTATTGAGATACCTAAAACATAGGCAGAAGATTTTATTAAAAGTTGCAGTGTGGTAGTTCGGCATTCTGGCCCTGCCTCTAATAGCTTTGCTATTACAAATTCTGTTTTAATGGACTAGCTTATCACCTATAATAATGGAGCTGTATAAATAGCATAACATGTATACCATGTATACAGGAACTTTACTTTCTCTGCATAAAAACTTCATTATTATTATTTTGCATCACGGAATCAAGGCTATATTCCCCTTGCATAAACTTTGCTAGGTAGTGACTACTAATCTCCTTTTTTGATCGGTATAAATGTTTTTCCCCCAGATTGTTCAGGCTAAGGGATGTATGTATAAGTATGATGGCAAAAATATAGTTCTAACACGTATAATAACTGAAAATACGAGAAAATCCGGGTCAAAAGGCAACTGACATGTTTCATGAATATATATACTGTTTATATATATACTATAAATGACTTTACCATAGGAGTAACCCAAATACCAAGTGGTTTGCTTATGATTAAAACTTTCACAAAATAATAATCATACTTTTCAGAGGTGCTTTAAGCTACAGATGAAAGACAAATTGAATAGCACTTTCATTATGCAATATCATATAATGAATTGGGAATGTCAGGATCAATCCCTCACAAAATATGAACTGTGTGACAATTTTGGAGTATCATATGGAAAAATCTAAAGTATTAAACAAAAAAAATCATTCACACAATATATAAAGAAATTTAAGAAATGATATGCTACATCAATGCAACTTTGTACAGTATAAGTTATATAGTTATTAATAATTAACTAAATGGCACACTTTCAAAATGTCTTTTATTTACATAATTATTATCAACTAAAAAAGGTTTCGTATCACAAACCAATTCCCACAAAGCAAGTTGGCCCGAAAAAAAAACTTCACACTCCAACGGTGCATTAAGCAATGACACACCAATTTGTTAAATCGTTTTAAATTCTAATTGGACAAAAACTAGTCAAGGCATACTTCGATCAGGACTCAATCTGCGCGTTTTACAAATCATTACAGATTTGCTCTTTCCCCTCAAAAGGTTTTTCACTTAACCGTTGTTCAAAAATTGGATCAAAGTGTGAGCTGTGAATGCAAGCTCAGACTCCCCTCGAGGGCATGGGTATGGCTGGCAAAACTCCTTTAAACAACTCAATGGTCACTGTCCGAACCACTCGTTACTATTTGGGAGGAGCCCATGCTTCTGAGTTATATATACTGATCCAAAACTTCCCCCCAACTAGTGACATATTCGTAACCTTGACTGTGGTGGCCAATATAAATTTAAGCCAATTCAAAATATATATTTTAGAATTTATTTTATATAATGAATATATATAATAAATTATTATAATTTTTTTTATATTTTTGAGACATATGATATAAATATATTTATTAGATAAAATGGTATGGTGAGAGAGTATTAGTTTACAGGTTATACTGGGATATTAAGTGGAGCTCACCTGGTTAATAATAAATATTATTAAAGTATGATATAATAATCTACTATGTTAAACCAAATATAAAATGAACATGATCATGAGATTACAACCATAAGTATTTCAATTCTTTTATACATTTTTGAATTTAAAATTTTTAATATATATGATAATATGTAGTGTAATATAATAAAATTAAAATAATACAGAAATATAATATATAGGATAAATAAATTATATAAATTGATATATATTATGAGTAGAATTAGAGTAATTATTAGATATTTTGGATGAAGGAGGGTGGAATCATGAAAATGATGAGGGTAGAAATGATGAGGGAAGCATATGGTCTTGGGAGACAAAGAATTCGTCCTTGGAGGCAAAGAGGGGAATGATGAGAGTTTGTTTTAACCAACGTCTTATAGGGTGTAAGCGTGGTGATGAATGTTGCAGCGAGGAGAAGGCTGGAGGCAGTGGAGATGTCATGTCTGAGGGCAATGTGTGGTGTGAATATAATGCAGAGAATTCGTAGTTTGGAAGTTAGGAGGAGGTGCGGGATTACCAAAACTGTTGTCCAGAGGGCTGAGGAAGGGTTGTTGAGGTGGTGTCGGACATGTAGAGAGAATGGAGCGAAACAGAATGACTTCAAGAGTGTATCAGTCTGTATTGGAAGGAAGGCGGGGTAGGGGTCGGCCTAGGAAAGGTTGGAGGGAGGGGGTAAAGGAGGTTTTGTGTGCGAGGGGCTTGGACTTCCAGCAGGCGTGCGTGAGCCTGTTTGATAGAAGTGAATGGAGACAATGGTTTTTAATACTTGACGTGCTGTTGGAGTGTGAGCAAAGTAACATTTATGAAGGGGTTCAGGGAAACCGGCAGGCCGGACTTGAGTCCTGGAGATGGGAAGTACAGTGCCTGCACTCTGAAGGAGGGGTGTTAATGTTGCAGTTTAAAAACTGTAGTGTAAAGCACCCTTCTGGCAAGACAGTGATGGAGTGAATGATGGTGAAAGTTTTTCTTTTTCGGGCCACCCTGCCTTGGTGGGAATCGGCCAGTGTGATAATAAATAAAAAAAAAAAAAATATATATATATATATATATATATATATATATTATATATATATATATATATATATAATTTTTTTATATATTATATATATATATATATATATATATATATATTATATATATATATATATATATAATATATATATATAATATATATATATAATATATATATAAATATAATATTAATATTTTTATACAATAGTATTTATCCATATATACATTTTTCATAGAATATTTAATAATTATCATTTAAAATTATATAATAGATATAATATATATATATATATAATTGTATCATATTATATCAGTCCACACACACACATATCAGTGACCCGGTTTAAAAACGATTTTTTTCACTCCAGAAGTATTTCAGTGTGCAAAGTTACTGACGAAACTTTTTCAAAGGATATTGATAAAGTAGTAGTCCATTTCAACCCCAAAAAATATACGTAACAAACGACAATCTTCATTAAATACACTGCATAATTGGAAATTCGAGAGGTGATCGTTATGCGGGGTCCACTGTAATTATAAAATTGACTGACACTTTGATACATCCAATATTTCTGACTCTTCTCCTTCCTTCTCATACCTTCAATTATAAATTATTATTTTTCAAGAATACTTTCATTAAAGGATGATATTAACTGATACAAGAGGCCTATAGATGATTGTAAACAAAGAAAATATTGAGTGGAATGGAAGGAAATGGAATTTTCATTAGAAATAGCTGTAAATGAAAAAAATTTTTGTAAGAGTGGGGTAGTAAGTGCTACAGCCAATGAAATTTTTGAAAATTTGAATGAAAATACAAATTAATGAATGACAGAACACAAGATACAGCTTGCTCCTGTACTACAATAGGTACTACTGTAGGTATAGGTAAGCTAAAAAAAAAAAAAAAAAAACAAAACATCAAGAAATATTCAATAAAAGTGGTTAAACTCTCATTGTATATACACAGATATACACATTGTACATTATATATAGATATATCTTTCAGCGTATAAGCAACCTTTACAGTGATCTTAGTTACATAGTATTTAATGGAAGTTATTTATGCTGTAAATTGAAGGTATGGGTGAAGGAATGTCAGCTGTATATAATGATATGTACATTAGAAGACAACATTTTTGTACGAGAGCTTGGTTAGTATGCAAACACCAGAGGATTTATTTTATATATACTACATGTGTGTGTGTGTATATGAGAGAGAGAGAGAGAAAACTTTCACAAATGTAAAAAAATCTTTTATATGAATAGTGTAGCTACAATACTCATCTCCTTTATCTAAACACATGGAAGACATACTCCTGTACCAAAAACGTTAATTGTCTAAAAAAAAAAAAAAAAAAAAAAAAAAAAAAAAAAAAAAAAAAAAAAAAAAAAAAAAAAAAAAAAAAAAAATCTCCATGAAGTAAATGTAGACTTAATGCTACCCTGGAGGAAATAGCTGAAATAACTAATTGCAGCATTGTCAGGAATTCTTAAAAATTTTAAACACATGGGTCTCTATAATTCAGGTCAAAAACCATGACTTATAAACATCAATATGTTTAAAGACAGCCCACCATACACAGTAATTTGGAAATACTTTATTTAAAAGAATTTTTAAAGACTTTCAGAGCTGTCATGATTATTATTATTATTATTATTATTATTATTATTATTATTAATTATTATAATCAAGGGAAAGTACCAAGCCCATCGGTGACATACAGCATCTGTGCAATGAGAGGTAATCAGGCTTAAATCAAGGAGGTAAAGGTAGTTTCAATTCACTGAATCAAGAGCATTTTAACAGCATCAAGGCACCTTCCTTTGGAGGGTTCAATCAATTTGTTAAAACCTTTTGTAAAGTACAATACTTCAATCTTAAAAATTTATCCAAGGCAATTATTTGCAATAAATTACAAAGAGTTAAGCTTTTGTAATATATAGTACACAAACTTCAGAGCATCTAGCCCAATTCAAAATGATTGCTTTCGTATTATATACTGTATGGACCTCATATAAACAAGCCACGATCAAAATACTGTACAGTAAACCCTAGATTAACCCTTTCAGGGTCGAAAGGCCCTCTCCTAAACTTGTTCTCAGGGTCGAAAATTTTTCAGAAAAAAAAAATTACTTTTTCTTATGAAATGATAGGGAATCTTTTCCCGATCATAACGACACCAAGAGTATGAAATTTGATGAAAAACTTACGGAATTATGCTCTCGTGAAGTTAGCGGTCTCGCCGATGTTTACGCATCAGCGATTCCATACACTTTGAGCCCTATTTTTGGCAAATTACTGTGTACTAGTCAACAAAAATCATGTTTATTTCACTAGAACTCCATTTTTTCTATTGAATGAGTACAAGAAACCACCCATCTACCAATATCAACTATCCAATAAACTAATGAAATT